CACATCTGGCGTAACAAGTTACTTCCATATTAATGTTAACATTTTTTTTTTATTATTTTGAAGCAATCTATATTGAAAATTTATCTGAAACTTAACATTGGTTCTTTAAACCTCTTTGAGGAACTCTAAAAGCTAAAAAAGTATTTGTAAATTGACTATATCTAAGTAATATAATTTAATTTTAAAGATAATTTTCTTTCAAATATGCAGATAATACAAATTGTGTAGGATTTATGTACACAACAATGCAACACATGGGCAATCTGCCTTCCTGGAAGAACTTTCTACAGGAAATTGGTTCATATTTAAGTGAAAATGATGTAAATCGTCTCCATCTAAATAGGGTCAACCCAAAATGATGAAACTACCTAGGGGGAAAACATAAATTTGGACTATATAACATACACAGTTCCATTACCATTACTGGAATTCCAGACAGAAGTTGAATCACCTCTCTATTTATAATGTCCCTATTAATATAAATATTTATATTTGAACAATAATAGAATTTTTATTAAAATTATCTATCTTATTACATGTAATAAACAGTAAAATTTGTTGGATTACAAATACTATCTGTTTCAAAATTTGTGATTTCAAAAATAATGTAAAATTAAATTGTGAAATAAATTATTAACATTCCATGCATTATGTAAAAATAATAATAAAATAATTAGCACGTTTCAAAATAAAAAATGAATAAATTTGATAGTTCATTTATAAAATGTTATTGGCCATTGGTGTGATGACCACATGTAATTTGAGTACTATTTTTGGTTTTTTTTTTTTTGCTTAGTTCCAGCCTTCTCACCATTTTAGTATAACTTTCATTGTTTTTTCTTGCTTTTTTCAAAAAAATACTTAATTCTTTAGTTTTTATATTAAATACATTTGTATATTGTATTCTGAACTTGTGATTTGTTAGAAAATGTTTATTTTATTTTGATAAGGGTCATAAATTTGAATTGATACTGCTGAGGAAAATGCCCATATGGCAAGAAATATAGAAAAGTTTTAAGTGAATTTAAAGATCATATTACATGAACAGAAACAGATGAAATTAGATTTGATGGACAGACACTAATAAAGACAATAATGACCAAATTCTTGGAGAAATGAATGAAGAAAAAATTAATGCAGCTGATAGAAATTTAATGAAATGCATGAAAAGTATTTTTGATTTTAATAATTTGATAGAATTAGATCTTTGTTTGCCAGGAACTATAACTTATGCAGAAAGAATATTTTCACTTGAATTTCCTGTGGCAGAGGTTGAGATTAAACATCGAAATCCATGAAAGAAAACCTAATTACAAAGCAAAATTATGACTTACAAGTTTTATTATAAAATTGTGAGCACTAAAAAATTTTAACAATGCTCATCTATATTTCTTAACAGAATTTTAATAAGAGAGGGCCTTCATTTATCAGTTGCACTTCTCCATCCAATATTGGCATCAAGAAATTACAATCAGTCTAGCTATTGGTTGTTAATAATTGTGAATGAAAAAAACATCTGTTTCTGTTGGAGTTTAAAAAATAAATAAATATGCTCTTTTCAATTCAAATACTTTTGAGTTTTGTAACTTTTTTCACAGACAGAAACATTAAATTCTAGTAAAATAAAATTTTAAACTTCAAAATACATTGAAAAGAATAAAAAATTAAAAATAGATCTCTAAACAAAGTTTGAATCATTAATTCTAGTGTCTTTGTAAATTGAGTCAAGGTGATTAAACTATCAGCCTACCACTTTAGGACCCATTTTCATACAGCCTATGATTATGTTGTAATAAATGTAAAAAATCAATAAAATTAAAGAAAGAGTGTTTTAAGTCATCAAACCAACAACTTCATTTTTACAACTAATCGCTTGTTTCTTTATTCTTATGTCAATTTTAACTGTTGAAAAAAATTATAAAAGTGTTATATATCTTAGCAGTGTTTCAAAGGGAAAAATCAACTCAAAAAATTTCATATTTCTTGGATCCTAATATGATTTAAACTGTTACTATTCAATGTTTAAAAAATATAATAAAATATTAAATTAAAACAATAAAAACATCACACATTGGTTTTAAGTATGAGTGTATCTGGTACTTGATTAATCAAGAATTAGATTTTTAAGTTTTTTCTTAAATAGCAAGAATATAAACATCAAAATTTATGGCATTGTGATTAAGATTAAATACTTTATGATACATTGACAAAGCTTAAATGTTAATATGAGATAGATAAAAACTTTCTAATCTGTTAAAATTTATTATATTGTACTTGTTTACATCATTAAGAAATTATGATATATCTTGGTTAAGTTTTGCATAATAGAAGAAACACTAAAAAAATAAAATAAAAGAGCATCTTTGGAATGCAAAAAAGTCCAGAGTTGACATTTAAGGTCAACCCTGCTATATGATTTTGTTGCATCTCCCATATGTTTTTTAGTGTTTCTTCTATTATATAGAGCTTCTAATTGTAAATTCATTATAGATTATTCTACCAAATTCCAATTATTACCAATATTCACTTAACAATGATTTAAAAATGCAAAATATACAAGGAATGCCATAAATGTAATACATAAAAATGTGTTGATATCTAATGTACATTCAAATTAATTTAAGAATTTCTTTTGAAAAATATATAAATGGCCAATATTTATATTTTAGATATCATTGTGACGATAAAAATTGTTACTTGGACTTGGCTCGTCTGCGAGGATTAAAATACTTAACTTGGGAAAAAATGAAATTATTATATCCGGAAGATGAGGTTTGTTTAATTTAATTTTGATACATATAATATATACTTTTAAAACTTATATATTGCAATATATGTTCCATTTTGTAGGGTCATCATCCAACTTTGGGAGCTCATGCAAAATTTACAAATTACGCTTTCGACGTGGAGGAATTTCTGCGTCTGGTAAACATTGCGATCGATCACGTTCAAAATCATGAGAGTTACAAATTAATACAGAAACAACCAAATCCTTCTAATAACTATAGGCATAATGAACTTTAAAAATTTTGCTTATAGGCAATGAAATTTTATTCACCATTTAAAATATTCTTATTTTAAAGTACCATATTTTACGGCATACAAGTCTGACTTCCTTTTGGTGAAGAATACGTACGAAAAAATATGTAGGTATTTATCTGTCTCCTATTGAAGGTATTCTGGGGAATTCATTAATCAATGGGAGATTGCAACTTGACATATAAGACATGGTGGTTTTTGAGTATTTTTTCTGGATAAAAGTTCCGTCTCTTATGCCATAAAATGCGGCACTATTTATTTAAATCCATATAAATTTATACAGCTTAAAACATTTTAAAAAATTTATTTAGTAAATTGAGGTCCATTGTTAATATTTATACATAAAAAATATTATTATATCTATAATAGTCTGTGATATAAGAAGTGACTTATGTTAAAAATTATTTGTCATAAAATATTAATATAATGAGTACCTTACAGTATTGAAATATTAAAAATAAAATTACTTAAATCTCATATTGTAAAGTTATACATATATATATATATACAAGCATATTTTTCTCATAAATTATTTAGCATTGTTTGCTTTTTATATACACTACGTGATAGTTCTTCCATTTCATAATGTATTTTCATATTATAAAAATAAAATCAATATTGTTTATTTTAATATTTTGATATTTTGTTTCATTCATATTAATAGTAATTAATAAAATATCCACATAAATTGTCATGAGAATATATAATTATAAAACCAGACCTGATATGTGTTAAGGCTGTTTGTAACCTCTTTGGTTGTACACACAAACACCAGCAGATGGCGTTAAAAGTTTAATGCTGTTTCTATGGGATTTTGATTTTGAGTAAAGAATTTTGAAAATAGAATTCATTAATTTGTAAAACTTTAGAAAATTAACAAATTTGATTGAAGATAATGATGATACGATCAGCATTAATAATTAAACGATACAATCAGATTCTTATCGAGCTACAATATGGCTAATTAATTATTAAGATACTCAGCACTATGGACTAGTGATAGGCAGTTAAGCCACCATCTTGTTTTTTTAGGATATTCTAAATTAAATTAATTCATTTCTGATGTTTAAAAAGTAACGTTTAATAATTAGCCATATTGTAGCCTTATAAGAATCCAGCTATATCCTATGATTATTAATGAGAATATATTATGTAAAAGATTTTTATACGACTTATTCTAAAAGTGTCTTGTAGCTTTTTATGTCTCACACTAATAAAATGAAACAAATTAAGATAACATAATAATGTATTTAATTTATTCCAGGTAATCAAACAAAAAATTTACTTGTGAGAAGTAAATTTAACAATATTGTGAACCAGCTGTTCCTATTATTACTCTCCTAAGATTCACGAAAAACATTTAAGTAGATCATTTATTTACTCAGGATTCGAGTGTAATAACATTCAAAATTAAATAAACCTAGGGCATATGATGAGTCAGTCGGGCATCACAAAGCCTAGTCTACTCCTCACAAGTAAAGTTGTTTGTTCACCCTGTATCTTATGATTAATCTAAAAGCATTAAAAATAAAATATCTATTTTTTCAGAACCAAAAAGTGCATAAAATATACTATAACTAGCTTTTACTGTTTTTTGGAGTGATAGAATGCTGAATGATAACCACAAACAAAGAGCAAAATTGCAACTGATTGAATTTCAATATTTTTCAAAGCCATTTCTACTAAACATAAAGGTAAAAGAATTATGTTTATACACTTTTCAAATATTGAGAATTAACTGTAATTAATAGACAGAAAGTAAGTGAAATCAATTGACAATGTATTTAAAAGTTGTTGCATATCTACAGTTTTTAAAATTACTTATTTTTTGATAGGTCAGTCATATTTATATAAATAAAAATCAGAAATTTAAAAAAATTTAATTTATTTAATTTAATTATCTGTACAAATATTTTCATTGATAATTATTAATTATTAATTTTTCATGATGTAAAAAAATTGTTCTTGCTTATCTTCTAAGTTTGCTGTTTTTGATTGATTTTGGAAATTGGAGGAATTGGTTTGGATTGTTTTAAAGAGAATTTCTGCAGATTTAATGGTCTTTCAATATCTTTAATTTTAGTATCTGAATTATCGTTTAGAAATTTATTTTTTTCTTTAATACGTTTTAATAATAAACTAAGTTTTCTTTCTACAGAAGTTGTTTTATTTATGTCTTGTGGAGTTGGTTTTCTGCAGCCATCAATCAAAGATCTGTAACTTTTTGAATATTTAAATTCATTTAATATGTTAGAAAGAGTTTTCTTTCTTTTCATTATATTCATTTCTTTACTTTGTATACTTTTTGTAATTTGAAACTGTGATAATGTATTAATTTTTGGAAGCATTTTCTGTACTTTCTCTGTTGATTTAGTCTTTGATGTTGCTTGACGTAAATTCAGACATTCTGAATTTTTCATAAGCACTTTGCTTTCCTCAGTCTTTAATTTCTGTTGATTGATTATCTCCTTTAAATTTCCTTCTTTTGAATTAGTTTCTGACTTGAATAATTTGTCAATATTGTTCTGTTTCATACATTTTCTGTCATCACTATTCTTATATTAGCCTTCTCAAAAATTGTAAAAGATTTATTTTTATTTTTTGAATTGCCAAAATGTTGAGGGACAATGTAATGTGTTTTTGCAGGTATAGAACCATTACAAACTGAATAATAGTTGTACTTTTCACAGTTTTTGATGTCGTTCACAATTTTATCCACATAGGAATTTTTGAATTTATAATTTTGTATGTTCCTATAAAGGTTTGATGCACACCACAGTATTAATTTTGCACAATATACTTCTTCTTCGAATTTTGATTTTCCTTCTTTTACAGTGCTTTTATTTGTCATCAGATTACTTGATACTGAAAGTTCGGTTGAGTTTCTGATGGGTTTTTCTATTTTCTTTCCAGTTAGAACTAATGTTCTATCACTGAATTCAGTCCATGGTACAACATCACCTTGATAACCCAGTTCAAAATGGCCAATACTGCATTTATTATTGACACGTCTGTCAAGGACAACTAAAAATATATAATGCATTATTTTTTGTACATAAAGTATTTTTAGGTTTTAAATTAACTCACTTTTTAATGTGTCATCAATCACATTAGCACAGAGTAGTCTAGTTACTGGTGTCGAAGGAGCAAGACAAGGACTCGCATTAATTTCAATTAACCATGGATGAAGTTGTTCGTCTATCATAAAATCTGCACCGTAAAGCTCAAAACGATTCTGAAAATTATAAATAATGCATATGTGGAATATATGATATAAGTAGATATTCAAATTAAAGAAAGAAAATATTACGTTTCTTCCAACCATTTGTTCTTGTGATCCATGCAAGATTGAAATTATTGCAGATCTCATTCCAGGATAAATAGTATTATTCCAAGCATCAGGATGTCCTTGAGATGCAAGAAGTTTTTTGAATTCCTCATTTGTCATCATATTACCTTCGGGCAGCGTAGAAAGACGATTAACAGAACGCAAATAATTACATTGAATGGAGTTGTTACACAAATGAATCGATCTAAATAAATTTGTATTATTTAATAATTCTATTTGAAAAAGAAGTTTTCCAAAATGAATGCTACCATTTACTGTAATTAGGTTAATTATTATTTGAGAAATATACGAGGTACTGTAAACCAATTGATAGAGTAACTGTCCAAGTTTTATCTCCCATCTGCAGTCTCTAGGAAGTGCTGTAAATGAAAATGGGGACTCTGCAATAGAGAAGGATTCTGTGTTCTGCAGTTTACAAAGTCAGAATTACTCTCATTGTGCAATATGAGTAATATGCAGAAGCTGTAGAATTGTGAATGCTGTGGGAAAAGTGACAACAGATTCTTTAGCAAGTGTAGGAAGAAATAGAATATCGATTGGATGTGACATGACACAACATTGTGTCACATGCCATGTGACTTGAAGTGCATTTATTGAGAAATTGTAATGAGAAAATGTAAAACTTGGACAGTTTTTCAATGTTTTGACATATAGTATGTTACAATATTCTCAAATAATAATTAACATAATTAAAATAACTTAAAATTGCAGCATTCTTTTGGAAGACCCTAAATATAGAAGATTACTTGTATATCTTTAACAAAGTCTTATTATCTATAATTATTAGGATTAAAATACTTCTAGATGAAATCGTTAAAAGTTTTAAACTATTTAAAAAAATACTTACACATCTTTACAATCTAATGTAAATGGCATGGAACAAAATCTTAAATAACTGTCGCAGTACATCCACATTGTTAATGGATTATAATCAGTCACAAGAAACCATTGACGAATATCAAATTTCACTCCTCCTATCAGAAGGGGATGCTCTGGATAGAATAATTTTAAAGAAATTGTATGCATTAACATAAAAATGAAATGTAGCAACAGTTAAAGCTATAATTATACTTGCCAATATATTTTTGCACGACGTAATGATTATCATGGTATGATCCTACTAATCCCATAATTTCATTTAGATTTTCAGAGATTTTGATACCTATACAAATATGCATACAGAAATTAAAATCAGAATAAATCATTTTTTTTTTTTGGTGATCATTTATTTAAATTTTCACTCAACCTTGTCCTTGTGATTTGGCTGCTGGTTTTATTATCCATACATTACGATAACCGTCAATTTTCCACTGTGGCCAAACTTTCTGAATGGCTTCTGCTATTTTGTGAAATTCTGGTAAATACTTTTTCCATTCAGAAAATTTGTAATTTTCACTATTTAAAGAAATATTAATTATTTTTCATCTTTATATTTCAGAAGATTCTAAATTAATTTTTTTTAATATAAAAATTTTACNTGATTGGCGGAATCCAATTCTGCTTCAATCCTATAAAAGGATTGAATTGTGGCGGGAAGTTCAGTTCACTGTGGACTCGGAAAGTGGACTCACGTTTGGTCTTAGTTCGCCTAAGCTGTTCCCGAAGCTTGTCTCGTCTCGTTGGGCTGTAAAGGACATTAGGGTAAGATTTACCCTCCGAATGAGGGGGTAGCCACCCCCCCAACGGGTAGCCCTCCCCCGTACGAACAATAAATGTCTAATGAACCACCCCCCTACGCGCGACCCTTCGCGAGATATAGCCCTCCGAAAATTGTTGTACGGGTCACGTGACCGCATGTTAGCCACAATTTACCCTTCGCGAGAATTTTTTTTAATATAAAAATTTCACTCTTTCAAATGATATGTCCATTCTAAAAACCAATCCCAGTCAGTTTCAGAACATGTTATTTCCTGAAAATGAATTAAATATATTATTCCATATCAATAAATTATAAAAATTTCATTTTTGTAATTTCTTATACGAACGTACTTCACTCATTTCTTCGATATCGTCGTGATTTTTTGTCGACAGAAAAACTAAACATTGAACTAATACAAATTTTATTACTCTTTCTGGTATCATAATGCATTCTTTATCATTTGTTGTGGAATGCCACACTGTAGCTTTTTTTATTAACCATTTTACAACATTAAAACAAGCAGTTAGTCTGAAATTTTCTTTTTAAAAGGCATTATAAGTAAATAGAAAGTTAATTTTGAATAAGTAAATTCATACAATTTATGTAATTAAAATGAATAAAAGTGATATTTAGTTTAGTGCAATTACAAGAATTAATAGAATTAGTGAAATTAATAATTGTATAATTGGTGAGTTATATCGTAGCTTAGACCAGTGGTTCATAAACGGAGTGCTGTAGTATACTAGTGTACATGAAGTATTTTTAAGTGTGCCGCAAGATGAATAAAAAAATTAAACGGACAAATTTTAATATTTGTAAAAACTTTTAAAAAGTATTTTCTTGTATGTTATTAATGTCATTTCATAAGTTTGTTTTAGTAAACTAGCATAGAAAGAGTATTAGAGAGAGCTCCTTTGTTGACTCTTTGACAGGTTCAGTTTATATAATAATAAACTTTTCATTAAGTTTAAAATGGTTAGGAACCACTGGGATAGACTATATTTATGCACAGAATTAAAGAGTAGAATATCTTATCAACATTAGTCCATCTTTAATTTTAAAAATTAAAATCATTCTCACCAATAAAAGCATCTCTTTCGACTTGGTTTGCTAAGCAAAAACAACGAGGAAAGAATTTGTCTGGGTCCATATCACACGTCCACTTGACATTACGAATGACTGAAGATAAAGCAGCCTTAAAATTTTAAAAATACCTTTCTGTAAGATTTAATTTGCATATATTAATATCAATGATAACAGTTTTAAACTGACCTTGGTAGTAAATCCACTGTGACTGAAATGATTAACTATTTGGTTCTTATGCAAATAATTATATAAAATTGCGTCTTTTCGTGATGCCCATATGAAAGTTGGAGGATAATACTTCAAAAGGTGCGACGACTGAAGAACATTTTTAATTTTTGAATGTAGAAAAATGATTGAATACCATATAATTTTGCTTAAAATTTAAAAAGAACTTATATATAAAAAAATTATTTAAAGGTTAATTTACACTTTGGCTTGGCTGTAAATCAATAACAATAAAATTGTTCTATTCTAAATCTGTCCTAAACATAAAATGCTAATTGTGTTAGTAAAGTAGAACCCTAAGCTTTATTTAATTTAGGAGTTAAGTTATAATTTAGTTTGCCAAATAAAAAACAAGAAACTGTTATAGTCAACAGCTTTAATTAATTAAAACAACAACATTTAATTTTATTTAATGATAAAAAAAAGTAAGATAATTTACATGATTATTTATGTAACATACCATTTTTATAATATCTATTTGGAGTTTTGTTTCAGGACATTCTTCAGATGATACTGAAATATATAAAAAAATTATTATCCAAATAATTAAGCTGTTATTTGTATTTTACATTTTTTTTATTCAGGTGTTATGTTACTAACATATTTAATAATATAACTAGTAACTGCATGATCTATAACATAAAATATTTTTGAATCATATTGTAAGGTATTAAATTTAATAATAACATTTTATGAATGAATTTTCCAAATTCCTTTAATTATAACAATTTAAAAAGTAAATTTTTTCTTCTCTTGATAATAATTTTGAAGACTACAAATATTTGAGAATTTTAAAAGAATTTAAATGTAATTTTATAAAACTTTTATACATTAAAATAAAATTTCAAATATGTTAATAATAGGAAAAATTATAAATTTTACAGTATTTTTTTTATTTTTATTTAACTCTCCACCCTGTGGACATTAAGAGGACCTCTTTAATCATACCCATCATGAGTTTGGCAGGCCCATAATGGGGATGATTGTGCCTTCATCCGGTCGTCCCCAGGGTTTTAGGGGTTTTCCTATTGCTCATATTTGATCTGGTGGTCCCCAGAGCTGTAGGTTAACCCCCTAACTTCCTGTCCCATTCAGAGATCAAAGTATTATTTGTTTATTTATAATTTTTTAGGAATAAAGCTTGTTTTATTTTTGTTATTAAACAGCTAACTCCATTGATTTTATATAGAAATCCATTAGACATACTTTTATTGGCGTTCTGATTTTTATTGATTCCTTTTGATTCACTCTTCCTGACAAGATCATATCTAAATGGCCACATATAAGGTTCCGTTTTGGTACAGAAATGAAATCGATGTTTCTTTTCGATCCATCCCCTTTTCAGCAGGCAAGCTCTTAAAGTAGGGAAGACACCATTTATGGCAAATATCCTTGATGTCTAGAAAAGAAAATAGATAAGCCATTGTTCGTAAACAAGTTCTACCAACTTTTTCACTTGTCAATCATTCTTTTGCCTTTCTTACCACTTACAGAATGATGTATTTCATTATAGCAGACGGCACTTACCATAGGAAATCGTCCAACTGCTTCAAGATCCAACTCATCTTTTTCTGGATTTGTAGCAGTCATTTTGCCCAATCTGTAAGGAATTTAAAATATTTTAAAATGGAGTCACGTCGATGATTTCTAAGTTAAAATTCTGTATATCATCTGAAGATATCGAACGATAATCCATATCAAAGGGGAACTACATTGCAATTAAATAATTTTACCAATTTTTGCTTCATCAATCAAAGTAAAGTTAACTTTTTCCTTTCCAACGCCCACTTAGATATAATGAAAAGAGAAAAGGAACTTTGTCCCTATATTCTCCCCCAATCGAGTAACCTAGCCTTCTTTCCTCCAGCTGACAGAACAATTTGGGTCACTCAGTAGATGTTACAAAAATATGCCGAAGGAGGAAACTAATTTAGAAAGTTAGAATGATGATGAACAAAGAGTACTTTACAGAAACCGATAAATTAAAAATTCGTCTCGCCTCGTTAAAAATTACGCGATAAACTTTGTGTAATTCTGACAAAACTTGTAATAATTGCAAACTTATTAATAATAAATTAAATTTCTGGCTAATTTTTATGTGAAAATTATAAAACTACAGCGAAAGAAAACGTCTAGAAAACATTAAATTTGTTCAAACGTCTGTCAGGATGTCCCTCATTAATCGGTTCTATATTTATCTAAAGTTGATGACGGAGTCATGACTTATTTTTGCTTCTTACTTCCTTTCTCTCCCGGGCATCCCAGGAAACGCGGTTGACGCATAGGATCGTTTGAGAGATTACATATGTTATAATTCTATGTAAGTTATAATACGAGTTAACTAACTACCATTTAATCGTAATCAATTAAAGATGATGATAATTTAAAGCGCGTTGAAAATCTGAAGATTCGATTAAGTTCTAAGAAACTGGAATGGGATTTTTAAAATTACAGAATCATTTTCTCTGTAATGGCACGAAAATGTGCCATTTTTATGTTCAAATTTCGACTCGTTTAGACAATGTTGTTCGCTACATTTATTTGACTAGTAGACCTTCAAACTTAACAGTTTACAAACTGTGGGAACGATCTCTTGGACAGCGTTCTCACGGTTATAAGCCACAACTTATATAAGAAGAGAGCGTACGAGCAGTTGGTGATTTTCCATTAGGCCCACTAGGCACGGGTCTAGGGAGTTTAAGAATTTGGAGCACCAAAATTCAAAAATACAATTACTGCAGAATTAAAATTATAAAATAGAATCATTCGGTGCATATTGTGGGACTAGGTGTGCCATATTTCTAAATGTGCCGCTTTGTGAGTAAAGATTTGCTTTTATATTTATCCCACGATACTCTACTAAGTCATTACACGTTTTCATATTTAGGTCGTGTTTAATTTTTTTATTTTTAACTCCTCTCCTACCTCGATGGTATCGGCTGAGGACACTGCAAACCTGATTGTAAGAGATATCACACTTCAAACACAGGATATGTACTTGTCCCTCTAATATCCGCCGACAATTGCGACCACAAAAACAATCGCAAATAAGATAATACTAATTTATATTATTAAAAACAATTTTACTATTGTTGCAGTTTATTTAGATAAAATTAAATTGCAGAAATATTTACATATTAATGTAATTTTTACTTTTGATTCGAGAGTCCATCAATTACTTTCAAACGAGTAGGACTTTAGATTAATTTTGATGAAATATAATAACTCGTTCTATTATTATTTTCTCTTACTTATTTGTAAAAATGAGTGTTATTGAATGTTATATTTAGTTATAGGCTGTTTATGTATGCTTTAAGCAAACATATTGTCGTTTAACCTTCAAATTTTTTTTCCATTTCAGCAAACTCTTCAGGTTTTCTTATGGCTTCTGGAGGTATCAATTATACACTCCGTTGAATAAGTCTAATGATATTAAAACATTAACGTGGAAGAGTAATTAGTGATGTTTTTCGTTTAATTATGTGTGTAAATCTACAATAATAGGCACATTATTCGTTTATAACTAGTCATTTCTTTACAGTTCACTGCTTAAACTTTTATTATATTTTGTTACAAGTTTTAGTGTCCTTTCTTAACAGTTTTAAAGACTTTCGGCACTTAAAAATACTTACAAAAGATTAATTTTGGCATCAAAATATTTCATAACTTATTCTATATATAGTCTTGATTTTCTATCTTGATTTTTTCCACAATTTTTGGCTCCATTCCAAAGCCAAAACTCAGTGATAAACTGTTTATTTAGAAGTAAAACTCGAACTTTGCACAAAATAGATCAGAAAGGTCTCAAAAACTTTTCTAATAATTTATATTTTTATTCAAATCCATTGATAGTTGGCCCAATAAGCCTTTTATACACGCAATGAATGTTCAAGTTAACATTTTAACATGATTTTAATTATTAAAACTTATGTATATGAAGCTTAATAATTTATATTTTTGATTAATTAACCTTTTGTTCATTAAATTTTAATACGAATTGTATTAATTCCATGTTTTTAGTATGAAGTAACACTCATTGCACGCTGTACAAATCTCGCTTATGTAACTTGTTTATGTCATTTTTCTTGTCTGTTATTTTCATAATATTATGATTATGAATTGTTTTTGTTTATAAAAATGTTATACAGATAATAATCAATAAAATTTATAAAAACATATTATAGTAACTCGATATATTTTGAATTTTCTCAACTTAAAAGTGATCCTGGAAGTTATTTTTTCGTATTTTTACGCACCAGTGCTTCGTAGCTATCAAAATAGGGCGAGAATTACATTATGTACAGGATTTTAGTAAAAAATATTCCCACACTTCCGCTCTTTGTTACGCTTTACTTCTAGTTTAATAGTCAATATGTTATACATCTTGATTCTTTAACTCGATATAAGGTAACATTATATTGTAAGTTATTATTAAGGCTCCCAACCATGTCTGATAGATGTAATGGAAACAATAGTTACAAAGATCGTTTATGAAACTAGCGATATTCTCTTTCAATAGATATCAATCTATACTCTAACCATGTAATATAGTATTTTATCAGCCCTCATAAAAAATCAAGGTTGCTTGGCTTGCAGGTTTTAATGCTACTTAGAAAATCTTTATAGGCTTCTATACTTTAATATTGTAGTCAGAGATTATTTTAGAAGCTTTTTCCTCACATTTGAAGTGATTTAGAATGGTTAGTTTTGTGTAATTAATTTATATAAGGGCTGTCAGGAGGGGCAAGGGGTAAAGCCAGATGATATTAAGGTCCTATATCAAATTATTATATTAATGTAAAAGGAGTAAAGAGGGTCCAATTTTACCTTTTTTGAATCAGTCTTAATTCTTAGATTTTATATTATTTTTAATGAAAATAACATTAATTTATAGGGATAAGAACCATTAAGAGCCTCTTTTTTTTGTCATATTTTGTTTCTATTTTTATGGAGTGTATTGTTTAGTTGGGGTATAAATTTATTAGTACATAACATTATTTAATTAGTTTTATTGTAGATAAATAAGGTAAAATAAATAAATAAACAAACTTTCCATCTCCTCTCTGGATCATTAAACAGTTAAATTGTTTTAGGTTTTGGTTCCAAAAATGGAATTAAAATTCAAATTTTTAGAAATAAAAATGTGATTGTTGATATCGTTGATATAGATTCAATTCTCGACAACATAATTAAAGTAGAAAATATCGAGAGTACACCATTAACACCATTTCTGATTAATTTGCATATTAACTTAAAGTGGAGTGAATACATTAATATACATTTATGCAGATAGAAACATATTAAATTTCCTCTAAATATAGATTTATATTAAACTCATTCTAAATAAAGATTTAGACTAAAAAAATAACTAAAAAAAATATTCTCTTTTTAAACGTTAAATAAATCAGACTTGTCCGTTTCGTACACAAAGTGTACTTTTACGTCAATTTGACGTCATTTTTTAAACTTGCTCATTGTGAAACCGAAGAGATGACGTCAAATTGACATAAAAGTGTAAACGTGTAAACTTTAAAGAAATAATATATAAATTTATACAATATACATTATATCAGGTGTCTCCAATCTTTTCCTGAAAAGAGCAATGTGAGTTGTAAAAGACAAGGTTAGAGGCCAGATACAAAGGATACAGTCAAAGATTAAGATTTTTATTTCTGAACTAGCTGTTACCCGCGACTTCGTCCGCAGAGGTTTTGCAACCAAACCCCATTTACATTCAATATTTCAATAACCATAGTAATTGTTAGGTCTATATAACACCTACCGCTGAAGAGAATTGCCGCGAATCAAACGANCAAATTGACATAAAAGTGTAAACGTGTAAACTTTAAAGAAATAATATATAAATTTATACAAGTTTGTTATAAATTTTACTCCTTATCTAATATTTGAAGAGATAAAAACGTTTCATACTTTGAACCAGAATAAAATGACAAGTTAAGTTATTAATGGCTCGATTGTGTTATTTTTGTAACATAATATAAAATTAATTTTTGGAACCGAAACTAATTGGAATATAGACCTATCATATTATAAAATGCAAAGAGATAATCTTTTTTTTTTCTGGTTAAACACTTTCACGAAATCAAAGTGCAATCTTTCTAATGGATTCTTCGAGGATAAGGAAGATAAATAACTGCACGAAAAGTCGAAATGTGTCATGTTTACGTTCTTAACTTTTTTAAAATCATGATTTTTGTCGATATTCGCATTAAAATAATATGATGTAAACGTGTTAAGAATAGCACGCTTCAATGCTTTTCTGTATTAAGTTTCATAAGGCTTGTTAGCTGTAAGAAGGGCTATCATTAAGCTTCCTATATAAATCAATAAGCTCTATAGACTACAGACGATGAAGTAATTCGATAGTCTATTTCTCTAACTGTTTATTATTATTATTTTTTTCTTTCTTTCTTAAGTAATTACATTCTTATGTCAATCAATACTTACACTTACCCCATATTAAAAATATAATCGAGTATACATCTTTCCTGTTATCTGATCTCGTATAAATGCATAAATAATATAAAATAATCTTTAATTTTTCTTAAAAATTATACGAAATGTTATTAATTAAAATTCTGCTAGAAAAATGTATTTATTAATTTTTATTCTTGGAATTATTACATTAGACAGAATAATGAATCATTTTTTAAGAAGTCAATTATATTCTTCATAACTGGAGAATATATTAGAGGTGTTATATATACGTAGATAAGTTTATAAAGCTTATAAAATAATTATAAATTCTATAATTTATTAATGTTCAGCATGCTGTAAAGGTACTGTAATTACGAACATGGTATAGCTCGGCATGTATCGATATCTAATATTCATGACATAAATATTATACAGAATCACAGTGATGTCAGCAAATGTTAAAAATTTCGTAACGTTTTACAGGAATTTTTAAAATTATTTCTGTTTTTTTTGGAAACAAAATGAAGAAAATCATACATATGACTTAATAAAGAACCTATTGATCCGCGTAACACAGTTATGATTTTTAAAAAAAATGGTTTCTCTAGTGAATAAAATACTTCTGATTTGTATACTTATGAATGAGAGTTGTTAAATATTTTTTTTCTTATATAAAATTACTCGAAACAACCTTGATCACATTGCCATCCTTCATGTCAAGGTCTCGCACCTACCAAACTTGTTCCGATATTAATAGAAAAAAAAATCTATATATGCCGGAAAAAAATGGAAATTTTTATTCATATTTAATTTAATCGAATGGTATATAATGTAAAATTATATGCCGCCACTCAATAATTGACTAATTCTAAGAAAAAAAAAAGAAAAAAAGATCCCTCCCGGCGATAATATTTGAGACCATAAAAGTCCATCTGTTACTCAACATAATTAAAGTTAAGTAGTAAAACAAACGGATGCTTGGATAGAATTGCATTTCTTCCTTCTCGAAAACCATACTTACTTGTGTTTTTGAAGCATAATTTCCTTAGAAAAAGAGGAAAATTTCAGTCGAACACTATTACTCCTACAGCTACATTACATATCGCAGAAGTCAACCGAGTCACGAAAGTTTAAGAATGAAAATATTATAGAATGGGTAACGTCTCTTTGAAGGTTACATACAAATTTAGAAAGCCTTCTACCTTCCGAGAAACTAACGTGTATAAAATACAGTCAAATAATTGTTTTAAATTCGAATTTTCCCCCCGTCTTCCACGACAGTTAGGAGGAACGTAGCTTGTAATTTAGTTTGACAAGCTATAGAAGGGGTTTTTTTTAATGCCGTAAAACACTATAAAGAAACTTGATTCGTATACAGATGAGATATGTAAATATGATTTAAAAAAACCATAAAACGCCGAGCAATAAATCAAAATTAAAAGTTATGATATGGAGAGTTTTAATATCTAGGTA